AAAATCGCTTCACATAATGTTGATGTTAACAATCGTGAAAGGAATTGTGTGTATGATTGAAGCGTAGCTTGTACTGAATCTCAAACAACTAAAGAACAGACTAGCAATGCGGCTTTTCCATTAGTCAGATGCGTGCCATGTTTGTTTTTTGGCTTAACTTTTTAATCCAATAAACAGCCGATTGAGCTAATGTGACTATATTGTAATAACACGATATCAATCTTTAATTCATCAAATAATGCAAGATAGTGCGAGATGTACACAGGAAGTAATATTAGTTGGGTCATAGTTCATTCATTCATTCATTCATTCTTGTTGTGTTGGCTTCATCTGTTCAAGGGAAATATTCTTTTTCGAGTGAATTTGTTGATTGGGACAATGGAGATTATTCTGGGTGATTCTATGAGGAGTTTCTTAGACTTGGAAGGAAGTGCTGACAATGCAAACTTGCCTGACAGCGTTGTATCTGATGTTAGCACGCACATTCTACATTGCCAAACAAAGATAAATATGTGACCAAAAAAAATATGTCATTTCTGAATGAAGATGCTAACTTGAATTTTCTTTTTTCCTTGGTTAAATACTCTCCACAAATGTGACAAATCATATGCAAGTTATTTCTATCTTTATTCACCATGTTTCTGTAATTATGAAAAAAATTAGAATAGAGATAATTAATTAATTATTAAAATTTATGCTCCTTTTAAAATATCAACTTCCTACTGAATATTAAACGACTTCAAATGCTTAGTTGCATTAGCCTATCAAGTTTTCAAACGTACTTTACATAAAAACTAGAAGTATCCACACAAAGGAACACTGTCGATGCCATCGCCGCCATTATACCTTTCTAGAAAAAGTTTGACAAATACTGGGTAATGTCGAAATAATGAGAAATAGTACTATAAATTTGCTCATTATGGATTCATAAATATCACAGACAAAAGTAGGAAATAATGAAAATGCCATAACTCACCCCAAAATTGACCGATTTGAACAAAAACAATGATGCTCAAGAGGTTAAAACTCACAGATTTTATTTACAGTTAGATCTGAAAGTATGCCTCTACGTGTTCGGCACCAGAATGACATTTCAAAAACACACAAAACAGGTAAATGTGAGTGTGTTCAAAAATCTTCAGTAAACGTGTGTCAATAAATGACCAGAAAGGACTGCATTCAAATTTCAACACTGAAATTTTCCAAAATGTCTAGTTTTGGGTTTCAAAAAAATATACATTCTTAATAGTGTTTATTGCAGTTGCCAGTTGCATATAAAGGCAGTGGAAAGGCAGTTAGAAAATGTGTGAATACCAAGCATCAGCTTTCATTCAAGAACATTGTCCATACCAATAATAGTGTGTATGTCTGCCTTAATTACATTCCATACCAACTGCAATAGCCCACTTTTTTAAAATGAAGCGCTTGTTGATTAGATGAACTAACTCATTAATAATATTAATTATAACTCACAATAATAATGCAGATATTTATAATTATGTTGCAATACCCTTTCTGGATTGGTCAATTTGTTATTTTGAGTTATTTAAATTTATATTCATAAAACATTAATATCATCTTTCATGTTTCTTGTTGTGCACTCTATGTTTATTATACTATATTATTTATTGCTGTCATACAAGGCAGTAGACAACTGTTAACGTTTAAAGGGGTACCTTCCAGTTAATTTGTTTTCCTGTGCTGGATTTGTTTGCTTTTTTTTCTGCAAATCTTCCATGCCCCCCCCCCCCCCAAGATTTCAAATGGTTAACCCCTAGCAGAAGCACAACCAAAACACTCGTTTGTTTCTTATGTTCTACTTTTGTCGTTTGTTTAGTCTGACCTATGGTTGTAGGTGTGAATTAGGGATTACGCCCGTTCGACCGGTTGTTTAAAAGATTAACAAGTTAAGCCAGGAAAACAAATGTGACATGCATCAGACCATGTTAGTACATCCATGATCTGACCATAGGAAAAGCCGCGTTGCTAGTCTGTCCATATTTAGTCTGTGGTATATGACACGACACCCTCTGTCATCATCCCACTATCCCAAACACCGCTACTTTTTCCTCACAGTAAATAACGCCTATTCTGACACACAAAGTCGTGGATACAGAGCTCGTCGCCTGATCGAGTTTTGACCTCAAACCCCATTTTTGACCTCAAACCCCTTATATGAAATTCACTGACTAACTACTTCACAGAAAGCTCTTTTCAATAACGTCAACTATTCTAAGAAACATTACGTTATACTGCATATTCATTGTTATTTCTTTCACTTTCGTCCCGCTGTGTGAGACCACTTTTAGCGTAGATCCGCCCACCAAAACAATGTTTGTATGCGTTATTTTCACGAGTTCCACCAGTATTCTTTGTTACGTTAACTGAATGGAGACAACAATGTACAAAATAGATTACGCACGTACCATAATATCATACCAACATCGCACGTACATAACACTTGTTATATTCACGGCCACCTGAAACTTATGGGCGCAGCCATTTTGTAATTATGATAAACAGGGAACACACACCTATACGTATCGATTCATATTTAGGCAAAAAACTGAAAGTGTGTGCTTCTGGCACTATAAAACACGCAAAAATAAAACAAAATAAATTATTACAAACTGATATATATTCATAATATCAGTTTAATGCTCGTTTAATAATCGTAGAATGGTTTTCGGTGTGCACTTCTTGTCTTGTATGTATTGCACCCCC